CCCCAAAACCCCAAAACCCCAAAACCCCATATTATTAGATTGAGAAATTATCAGAATTAATTATAAAATAATCAAATGGGAAAGAAAAATAGAAATAGAGGCGGGAAATCAAGAGTTAGTAAAGCAATGAGGGATAAGCTAAATAGTCTGCATAATGTGCATAATGCAAACAAAAAGAAAAATTTAATGCAATATGAGAAAGCTGAAAAGCCAAATGATGTGGATGTGTACTTTAGCAAAGCTTTTTATATTGAGAATCCCTATGACCTGATAAACATAGATCAAGTGAAACAAGAAATCATTAAAGTAAAATCTAATAAATGCCCAATAAATCCAGGAATTGATATTCTAGAGCTTAAGATAAAGGGAAGGGGGCCTGCAGAAGATGATATCTATGCTTATGATTAAACTTTGATTAAAAATGTGAGGAGAGGAAATACTTTGCTTAAATTTAATTTGGATGGAAACTCAAATATAGTATTTGCCAGAAAAGGTTTGGTTAAATTCTTTGATTTAGACTTGACTTTTGTGCACCCATCAACCAGGTTTGAGTCAACTGAAGTTACAGTTACCAAATCTTGTCTAAAGAATTACATTTTAGCAGGTCCTTTAAGGTCCTTACTGAAAGGACATAAAATAGAGGTTGTTAAAACTCTAAAAGCTAATGGCGAGAATTGCTAGGTATCATTCAACTCAGAGTTTGGACAATGGGTTATTGCTTAGAAAAACTCTGGACTTCTTGCTAGAACTAGGAAGGATCTTGAAAAATATGATAATTCAATTTGGGAATATGCAATTTATATGGCTAGAGTTTGGTTTGATATCCTAGATAAGATCAAAGTTAAACCTAATGGGACATAATTACTGAAGTAATTGAAAGAAATCATGACTGATAGAACTTTTGTTGGAGAATACATTGGTTCTATTGAGCATTAGCATATGGTTAAATATGCTGAGGAAACTATTGTATTTTATGCAATAGTTGATAATTATAGTGGCAAGATTTGCTGGGCCACAGAAAAAGCTCTATAAGTTTTTAACAAATTTGAGTTAAACTGCGTAAAAATATAAAGTCTTGGATTATTCGACAACTACAAAACTCTATGCGACGGGCTTTATTAATCATTCAAAGACATTTCTAAAAGTAAATTAGTTGATGAAGAGGAAGGTTCAGTTTTATACTTCATAAAGCACCACAAAAGTGGAGATGAAAATAAGGATAAAGTGATGAGTTTAGCAAAGATCAAGACTCTCGAGTACAGAGCATTTAGAAAAATGAGAGAAAAGCTTAGAGGCTACTATAGGAATAAGAGCTCTAAAGGTTAAGAATCCTTAATTAACAAATTTCAAAAGGAAATGGAGGAGTTAATGAATGAAAATGAACTTCCATAGCCACTTGAATTCTATGTAGACGTTTTTAAATTAGCTTTTGAATTTATAAAGCATGATCCCTCTCAAATAGAATACCTAAATAAAGAATATATTTCATTTTAAGAGAATCTTATGAAGTATAAAGCAAAAATTTCAAATTCAAAGCTTGATAAAGATGCCTAAAAAATGTTTGAATCCCAAAATATATCTAGTTATTATGAGTATGAGAAACCAAGTTTCTAGCAAAGCTTTAGTTTCTCAGAGGTAAACTGTAAATCTACTCTTAAATTAGTTATATTGACTCTTCCTGGAATGATATCAGATCAAGAACTGACTTAAATAGGGGAAAATTATAACTTTGAAATCAAACACTAAATAGATTTTGTTTATTTGAGCTAAATAAAACCTCAAGAATAACCCTACTTAATGATAGTAAATAGTATAGGAGAAATAGATTAATACAAAGATCTGAGTAGAGTGTAGGATTTATTCATTATTGCTTTCAGGCTTAATTAATAATCAAAAGCACAATCAATTGAATATATAAAGTAAAACCCTATTGCAAAAGATTAGTTAAGCAATCAATAAGATCTTAATATTTTCTTCTAAACTGAACTTGAGAGCTTTAAAAAGCTGTCATAAAATTTTCAGAGTAATTATAGATTTGTTGATTATTCAGAGTCAAACGATTTGAACATTTTAAACAAAAAACTTATTTATCTAAAAGAAAATTACTAAAAGATTCATAGACAAGCTACTGAAGAGGAGAAAAAATCATATGAACTTAATAAATCTTAAAGATAAAATAGTTACTATAGTGAATCAGCTACTCCTAAATTTGGATATGATGATTTTAGTTTCAATGAAATATTTGAGTAGTAAGATTCTTCTTAAATAGTTTCAAACACTGAATAAAGTTCATTTCAAACTGCCAATGATACCCTTTATTAATCTTTTGAACATGAATCCCCTTAATAAATAGAAGAAATTAAAGTTTAAACAAAATCAGCAACTAAAAAATAGAACTAAATTAAGGAGCAAGTAAAAGAAACTATTCAAGTTATCGATTAGAAAAATAAAAAGAGCAAAAGGAGTAAAAATAAGAAATATGCTGAAGAAGAGGAAAAAATAGAAGAAAATAAAACATAATAGAATGAAATAACTCATATTGGGGTTTAAACAAGACATCAAAAGAAAAAAACTGTATAAAAATCTAGAATTCCAAAATACCTAGGTATAAATATTGAAAAAGACTTTAAATATGGGTACAAAATGGAATAATTAATGTAATCTGTTCTATAAAATCTCCAAGATATTTGTCCAAATGATGAAATTCTTGAAATAGAGACAGCTTTCAATTCAGAAACAATAGATGATAAGGATGGCTGGAATAATGTACCTAATTATCATGTAACATGTTTGTATGTTGGTGGAGATGCAAAGATAATGGAATCCGAGATTGCTCTTAAATTCTGCTAAGATGTTTAAGTAGCAGTAAAATTGATGGGCTGCTTAATAATATAAAACAGACTTGTGATTGGAATACCTACTCTTATTGATTAAGAAATTGAAAATGAGTTTCCTCATGTAACAATAATGATAAGAAATTGCAAAGCATTTGATTCAAATATGGCTTTGAGACTATTGTGCGATAAAGGCTGTGAATTCAATGATATATATAAAAGAATTATGAAATCGAAATCATCATCTTAATTCAAGTAAGATGAATCTAGAAGAACTGAAAACATTGAATTTATGGGATCAATACATTCCGCTTACATCGTGGCTTTTGAATATCCTTTTGAATTCAGAGCAAAGACTCAAAATTATTATCAATGATGGATTTATTTAGATTTTTCAACCATTTAATTACTTTGAAAGCAGCACTAAGGGGTTTTGGGGTTTTGGGG